AAGAAATGACATTAGAAGATGAACCCCTCAGGGCAAAAGGTATCCAACACATTACTGGGGAATAATAGAGGACAACTACAAGTAGCTTCAGAAAGAATGAAGCAGCTGGGCTTCTATGAAGCTGAAAGGAAGCTCAGCTGCAGTGAGTCTGATGACAAAAGGAAAGACTGATGCTATAAAGATCAATATTGCATAGGAACCTAGAATGTATGATCTATGAACCAAGGTAAGCTGAATATGGTCAAATAAAAGATGGAAAGATTAAACATCAACATCTTGGTGTCAGTGAACTTAAATAGATGGCAATGGGTGAAAAGAATTCAGGTGATCATTACATATAGTGCTATAGGCAAGAATTCCTTAGAAGAAATGGAGTAGCCCTCATAGTCAATGGTGAGAAAAGCAGTACCAGGATATAAACTCAAAAATGACAGAATGATATCTGTTTGAATCCAAGGAAAACTGTTCAACATCACAGTAATACAAGTCTATGATCCAACTACTGTTGCCAAGGAGATCAAAGTTGATCAGTTCTTTGAAGACCTACAACATCTCGTAGAAATAACACCAAAAAAAAGATGTCACATTCATCATAAGGGATTGGAATACTAAAGTTGGACATCAAAAGATAATTGGAATAACAGGCAAATTTGGCCTTGGAGTACAAAATGAAGCAAGGCAGAGAGTAATAGTGTTGTCAAGATGACGCTTGGGTCATAACAAACACTTTTTTTCAACAACCCATAAGGCAACTCTACACATGGACATCACCAGATCATGAATATTAAAATCAGATTGATTATATGCTTTGCAGTCAAAGGTGGAGAAACTTTATACAGTCAGTTAAAACAAGACCTGGAGTGGACTGTGGCTCAGATCATGAGCTTTGTATTACAAAATTCAGACTTAAATTGAATAAAGTAGGGAAAACCATCAGACCACATAGGTATGACCTAAATAACATCCTTTGTGAAGCTAGGATTTCAACCAAGAATCACCTACCCAACAAAACTGAATATAACACTTCAAGAGAAAAAATAAATAAATATTAAATAAAATAGGACTTTTAAGCATTCCTGATGAAAAGACAAGAGCTGAATGGGAAATGTGACTTTCAAATACAACAATCAAGAGAAGCATAATAAAGTAAACAGGAAAGAAAAATCATAAGGGATTCAATAAAGTTAAACTGTTTACATTCCTACATGGGAAGATGATACTAGTAACTCCTAAAAATGTTATCATTATTAGGGCAGTTAGAAGGAGTATAGATAAACAGAGAGCACAGTTATTAGTTTACTATAATGGGTGATACAAAAAAAATTAGGGGGTGAAAAAGAGGGATGTAGTGGGAAAAGGTGGGAGAAGTAGAATGGAATAAATTATCTCACAGAAAAGAGATGCCAAAGAGCTTTCATGATAGAGGGGAAGATGGGGGGAAGGTGGGAAGCAATGCTTGCCCCTTGTTCTCATTGAATTGGCTCAAAGTGGGAAAAATACACACATTCAGTTGGGTATAGAAGTATATCTTACCCTGCAGAGAAGTAGGAGGGGAGGAGGATAAGAGAATGGGGCAGGCTGATACAAGGGAGGGTGGATTGGGGGAGGCAGTGGTCAGAAGAGATAGATAAATTGGGGAAATAGTAGAATGGAGGGAAATACATAATTAGTCATTATAACTGTGAATGGGATGAACTCACTCAGAAAATGGAAGCAGATAGCAGAGTGGATTTAGACATGATTTAGACATAAAGGGTGATGTCATAAACAAATTAGGGGAGCATGAAATAGTTTACCTTTCAGATCTACAGATAAGGGAAGAATATATGACCAAACAAAAAAGAGAGAGCATTATGGGATGTAAAATGGATAATTTTGATTCCATTAAATTAAAAAGATTTTGCACAAACAAAACCAATGTAGCCAAGATAAAAAGGAAAGCAGAAAACTGGAGGGGGTGGATTTATAGCAAGTTTCTCTGATAAAGGCCTCATTTCTCAAATATATAGAGAACTGAGTCAAATTTATGAGAATATGAGTCATTTCCCAATTGATAAATGGTCAAAAGATATGAACAGACAGTTTTTAGATGAAGAAATCAAATTTATCTATAATTATTTCAATAAATGCTCTAAATCACTATTGACTGGAGAAATAGGAATTAAACCAATTCTGAGATACCACTTCACACCTATCAGATTGGTTAATATGACATAAAAGGAAAATAACAAAGGTTAGAGGGGATGTGGGAAAATTGAGACCCTAATACACTATTGGTAGAGTTGTGAACTGATCCAGGCATTCTGGAGAGGAATTTGGAACTATGCCTAAAGGCTTATAAAACTGTGCATGCCCTTTGACCCAGCAAGTACAACCACTAGGTCTGTATCCCAAAGAAATCTTTTAAAAAGGAAAATGACCTATATGTATAAAAATATTCATTGCCGCTCTTTTTTTTTTTTGACAGCAAAGAATTGGAAATTGAGGGGATTCCCATCACTTAGTAAATGGCTGAATAAATTGTGGACTACTATTGTGCTATTGAAAAAATGAGCAGGATGCTCATTGCCTGGCAAGACTTACATGAACTGATGCAAACTGAAGTGAACAAGACCAGGGGAACATTGTACACAGTAATAGTAATATTGGACAATGATCAATAGTGAATGACTTAGCTACCCCGACTTAGATATTCTCAGTAATACAATGATTTAAGATAATTCTGAAAGACTGATGAAGAAAAATGCTATCCACTTCCAAGAAAGAACCAATGGAGTCTGAATGCAGATTGAAGCATACTTGTTTTCCCTAAACCTTCTTTATTTTCCTTTTTTTTCCTTTTTGTCTGTTTTCTTTCACAACATGACTAATATGAAAATGTTTTACATGACTGCATATGTATAACTCATATCAAACTGCTTGCCTTCTCAATGACGGGTGAGGGAAGGAAGGGAAAGAATTTGGAACTCAATTTTTAAAAAAAAAAGAATGGAAAATCGTTTTTACATATAATTGGAAAAAAGAAAAGAAAAAAGAAAATTAGAGATATCAAAATATTGTTTCATGAAAAAATGAGCATGATAAAAAAACAAAAAACAAAATGGGAGGGACTTAAGAAAAGAAGAGATTGAGAAGTGTCAAGAAAACACAGAAGAACTATACAAGAAATATCTTAACATTGCTGATAACCATGATGGTGGGGTTGCTGATCTAGAGCCAATCATCTTGGAGAATGAAGACAAGTAGGCATGTGGAAGCATTGCTAACAATAAGGCTAGTGGAGGTGACAGAATTCCATTGGAGCGATTTAAAAGACAAATATGATGTTAAAGTGTTGCACTCAATATACCAATAAATTTGGAAAACTCAACAGTGGCCATTGAATTGGAAAAGATCAGTTTATATCTCAACCCTAAAGAAGAGCAATGCCAAAGAATGTTCCAATTATCAAACCTATCAAGTTGTGCTCATCTCACACACCAGCAAGGTTATGCTTAATATTCTGCAGGTTAGGTTTCAGCGATATGTGAACAGAGAATAGAGAATTACCAAAACAGTCTGATTTTTAGAGAGGCAGAGGAACTAGAGACCAAATTGCCAACATTTACTGGATCATGGAAAACGCAGGGGAGTTCCAGGAAAAAAAAATCTACTTCTTCATTGACTACACTAGAGCCTTTGACTATATGGATTACAACAAAATGTGTCAAGTCCTCGAAGAGATATGAGTACCAGATCATCTTATTTATCTCCTAAGGAACCAGTATGCAGGTCAAGAAGCAACAATTAGAACCAAACACGGAACAACTGATTGGTTTAAGATTGAAAAAGGAGTACGACAAGACTGTATATTGTCACCTTATTTAGCATATAGGCAGAGTACATGATATGGAATGCCAGTCTGGATGGATCAAAAGCCAGAATTAAGGTTGCCAAGAGAAATATCTATAATCTCAGATATGCAGATAACACTCTGATGGCAGAAAGTGAAGAAGAATTAAGAAGCCTCTTGATGAGGGTGAAAAAAGAATATGTAAAAGCTGGCATCAAAAATACTAAGATCTTGGCAACTGATCCCATCACTTCCTGGCAATTTGAGGAAGAAGAAATGGAAGCGGTGTCAGATTTTATATTCTAGGGTGCAAAGATCACTGCAGATGGCAGTGATTAAAAGACTCTTGCTCCTTGGAAGGAAAGCTATGACAAATCTGCATTACATACTAAAAAGCAGAGACGTTATCTCGCTGATAAAAGTATGTATAATCAAAGCTATGGTTTTTCCAGTAGGCTCAGTGCCAAACTTTAAAATTGTGGTGCTAAAGAAGACTTATGAGAGTTCCTTGGACAGTGAGGAATTTTAATCAATCAGTTAATACTTAAAGAAATTAATTCAGGCTATTCACTACAAGGTCAAATACTGAAGCTGAAGCTTAAATACTTTGGCCACATAACGAAAACATTGGATTCATTGGAAAAGACCCTAATGTTGAGAAAGATTGAAGGCAAAAGGATAAGGGGCTGGCAGAGGATGAAATGGATAGACGGTGTCATGGAAACAAAGAATGTGAACTTGAACAGGCTTTTAGAGATAATGGAGAATAGAAGCCTTTGACCATGTGGATTACAACAAAATGTGTCAAGTCCTCAAAGAGATGTGAGTACCAGATCATCTTATTTTTCTCCTAAGGAACCAGTATGCAGGTCAAGAAGCAACAATTAGAACCAAACATGGAACAACTGATTGGTTTAAGATTGGGAAAGGAGTATGACAAGACTGTATATTGTCACCTTATTTAGCTTACAGGCAGAGTACATGATATGGAATGCCAGTCTGGATGGATCAAAAGTCAGAATTTGGAAGGGCTTGGCATGCTATGGTCCATGGGATCACAAAGAGGACATGGCTGAACAACTAAATACCAACAATATTCCAAAGCATCTCAAATAACACTTTTTAAAAAAATTCTCCTATAAAATTACCCAGCAAATTAGGTCCTTACCTTCTATTTCCTGCTGCATTCTGGGTGGCATTATACCCTGGAGGTGGTGGTGGAAACCAGGATTGTCTGTTAAGAAATAACACATGTTATAAACAAAATGTTCAGAAGATCTAATCCCAAAGCAATGCCTTTTTAGGATCAACTTACAACATTTGGCAGCCAAAAAAGACAAATTATTTTATGTTAGTTTATTTTTTTTATAAATACCAATTCTTGTAAATAGAATGGAAAATACCCATGATACATTCATGCTCTCTATATTGAAATCAATTTCCTGGTTTCCTTTGGACACTAAATAAGACATTGTAGTGACAATAGTGTCAAAGAAATAATGACTGAAAATATAAAGAATCAAACTCAGAGACATAAATAGTGTCACCTTTAGTGCAGAAATCTTTTTGCCAATAAAGAAAAAACAGACCTCATTTAATTACCCTTTGGATTGGCAGGAGCATCTGAGAGGTCCAGCAAAAAGATTAAAAGGTAAAGCAATAAGGAGTGCTCAAAGGATGATAGACAGGAAAATGAGGGGTCTGGAAAATATACTATCTGGAGAACTATTGCAAGGACTAAGGATGTTTATTCTGCTGGAAGAGGGAGAATGGGGCAACCATAATAGCTATTTTCAAATACATGATAGGTTGTCATGTGGTAGGAGATATATTTTTTATCATAACAAAGGAAAGAAGTAGGACAAATGGGTGAAAAGTGATAGTGACTCAAATTCCAACTCAATATTTTGACATATTAAATACTCAAACCGTTCACTAATGCTTCACATTATAGCAAATTTCTAGTCAATGGTAGTGTTAAAGCAAAAGCTAGATGACCAGGTATGAAGGGCATTGTAGAGGAGACTCCTGCTTTCGTGGCAGATTAGACTAACTGACCTCTAAGGCCCCATGTAACTCTAGGCATGAGAGGGGCCAAAGAACAGAGGTTATCAAGTTTTGGTGCTGGGCTGACTAAAGTGTTTTTTTTTTTCAAATCTCCCCAAGAAATGCAATAGTCACAAGCATAACAGCTAGGCATGAGTCAGTATTGTGTTTTTTATTAATATCATTTGGTTTCTGTACCTCTAATACTGTACTATTGTTTTTATAACATGGAATTCCTCAATCTTTTCTTCTTTCCTGGCATTACAGGTTTATTTGCTGCTCTATACCTATTGGATGGGTCTTAACAAAGGTTGCAAAGGCATGTGCATAGAAAGCTGGCATTGTAGTCAAGAAGACCTGTGTTCAAGTCTTACCGCTGACACATATTGGCCATATGACCTCATCAAGTCAAGCACTGAGAAGTGCTCTATGCCAGTGCTTCTTAAACTGTGGTTCACAACCCCACATGGGGTTGCAAAAATATGGCAACAGTAAAAAGTTTCTGAAAGTAAATTGGGCTTATCTGGAATGGACATTTAAAGTTTGTCTTTGCATCTTCTCCCCTCCCTTCTTCATTCCCAATTTCTCTATTTTTATAGTTTTCCGTATCTCCCAAATGCCCATCCATGCCCCGGTAATGACCCACCCATTGCTGCCCTCCTCGTTTCCTGTCCAATGAGGGGAAGTATGGTTTCATGTGAGGTGTACTATATCATGAAGAAAAACCTGAGTTCTAGATTAGGCCCTGTCTCTAGCTATGTAAAACTGAGTGTTTCACTGAACCTTCTGGGCTTCAGTTTCCTCATCTATAAAATCAGCACATTGGATTTAGAATAAATCTCTAAGCAGTATGGCATAGGGGGATGAACACTGGCCAAAAATTAATTCAAAATCAAACACATAATGAATCTGAGGTGTTTATGGCAGCACTTACTTGTGTTGCATCAAACAACTTCACTGCAGCCTTGGTTCTGAACACAAAGCATGTGCACTTTGCACTGAGCCTGTCATCATGCCATACAACACCAAAGAACACTGCTAAAATGAGAAAAGGGCTGTGACTAGAAAAAGTTTAAGAAGCCCTGCTATAGGTAACTCTCTAAGCCTATCAATTACATAGATGGTTCAAATCTGCATTGCTAGAGGGAATTCATCACTGGAAATTTTTTATGAAAATGAAATGAGAGTTCCAGCTCCTATCTTACCAAAAAAGCAAGACCTAATCAGAGAAGAAGATGGTAATGGTCATAGGAATACTGAATATTTTACCTAGGAGTCCTCTCTATATAGTTGTTATCAAAATTTTGATTGTACTTTGATTATAACTAGCTAGTCTATACATGGCAAAAAAAGTAGCCACTTAGGCAGCATGATTTAAGGGGTCTTAGGAAAGATTTACTTGCACCCAAAGTTTCTGCCCTACTAGGATGACATAATGATTTATGTTTCCACTATCGCTGTTATTTTGAAGTGTGGGGCATTGTCTCTAGAAGGTTTCTATTAAGATTTATGGTGTAATACAAAAAGCAATGCATAAGGAGAGAAAAGATGTGGATTCTTGTTCTAACATAGCTACTAATTTGCTATATCAAAGACTTAATTGAACTTGGAGCTAGAAGGTATCATAAGATCATAGAGCTAGAGTTAGCAGGTACCTCAAAGGCCATCTAGTTCAACCTTCTTCCCCATTTAACAGATGATGAAACTGAGACCCAAGGAGGTTAAGTGACTTGCATTCCACAGTCCCTCAAAACTGACCTTTTCTCTATTTCTCATTCAAAGCCAATGGTCCATATCCCATCCCTGTGCCTTTTCATTAGTTGTCTCTTTGCAGGCCTGAAATGCACTTCTCCTTACATCCATCTCACAAAGTCTTTCGTGTCTTTTAAGATGTATCTTAGGTACTATTTTCTGATTGAAGCCTTTCTTGGTCCCCCCAGTTACCAGTGTCCTCCCTCCCAAACCACCTTATGTTTGACCACTTTGTGTGTATATGTATGCCTATATTAACTCTCTATTTATGCTGTATATATTTTTGTATATACTTATTCTCTCCATTAGAATGTAAGTACAATACTAGTAAAGATTTTTTTCATTCTTTGGTACTTACATTCCTTGTTCCTAGCACTTAATAGACAATAAAGACATATTGATTGATTATTGATTGCCTAAGATCACTCATACAGTAATCGTAAAAGGCAAGCTTCGAACCCAAGGAATCCTAATCTGGAGCCACTGTTTATCCCCCTATACCATGCTGCTCAGAGATCTAGTCTAAACCCAACACACTGATTTTACAGATGAGGAAATTCAAGCCCAGAAGACTCAATGAAACACTCAGTTTCACATAGCTAGAGACAGATCCCAATCTAGAACTCGGGTTTTTTCTTCATAGCATAGTACTCCTCACGTGATTCCATACTTCCTCCCATTGGGCAGGAAATGAGGAGGGCAGCAATAGGTAGGTCATCACCAGGGCATGGATGGGCATTTGGGAGACACGGAAGACTATAAACATAGAGAAATTGGGAATGAAGAAGGGAGAGGAGAAGACACAAAGACAAACTTTAAATGTCCATCCCAGACAAGCCCAATTTGCACAATCAGGTAGAGAAGTACTTTGATATAGAAGTACAACTAAATTATCAGAAAAATATTTTCCCAATGATAAACAAACACTGAATACCTCTTTTTCTTTACAGGAGTTGTAACAGGAGTAGCAGCAGCAGTGGTGCTTGTCGTGGTGCTGGTATTCAAAGAAGCTCCAGGTGGTCTGTATTTCAAAAACAAAGGTTGCAGGTTTGGCTTTTGTTGTTGTTGTTGTTGTTGTTTTGAGAAAAGGTCATGGTTGATTATAACAATTGGGTTAGTGAGGAGGCCAAGATAAAGTAAGACCTCCTTATTTCTAGTCTTTAAACCCACCCTCTCTCTCAACCCCCAATATCTCTTAACACCAGCTACAGCACTTGGTCTCTTTACCTACCTTCCTTGAGAAACACTGATTTTACATTAAACATGATTGAAAATCACCACAAGGGTAGGTTGTGGAGTGGGAGGGGGAGGGAGAGAAAAAGAAAGATATTGGATAGTGATAGGAAGACTCCTAAATGAGCATCGACAACAAAAAATTAATGCACAAAAACAATAAGAAGTGAACAAGGGGCTAGGCACAAATAATCTTAATAGCTTGTTAATTTTTACATATTAATCATAAAAATTTCTTTAAAAGTAAGATTCATAACAAAAGTTTATATTTTCTTATACAATCTTCATGTTCTTTAAACATTGAAAGTTCTATTGTTTTAAAGGAAAGAAGGAAAATAAATTAATACTGAAGATTAAAATTTGGCCTGACAAGATCTTAACATATCTTCCATTCATACATTCTGGCCAATACCCATTTTATCTAAATGCTATAGTGTGCACCCCTTATAGACAACCATGATTATGGAATCCCATTTCCATTAATAAAAGAATTGCAGGGAAGTGAAGTCAAGTAGGAAGGAGGTAGTAGTGGTGGTGGCCAGGAACATCATGAAACTGAAAAGCATTAACAGTCAATGACCAGTAGAAAAGAGTGAGGAAGAAAGGGGAAGGGATCATAAGTTCATAGGCTCATAGATTTAGAGCTAGAAGGGATCTCATAGACCATCTAGTCTAAGCCCTTCATCTTATAGATGAAGAAACTGAGGTTTCAGGGAGGTTAAGTAATATACCCAAGGTCATACAGGTACTTAAGTATTATAGGTAGGATTTGATGGGAGGATAAAGGAAGGAGAGGAGGGGAAGGAGAAAAGAAGAAAATTAGGAAGGCGAGTGAAAGGAAAGAGAGGAGAGGAGGGCAGGGAAGGAAAGAGGAAGAGAAGAGAGGAGAGGAGGTAGGAGAAGAAGAGAGGGAAGGGGAGGACAGGCGGAGAGGAGAGGAGAGAGATGGAGAAAGAAGGAGAGGGAGAGAGAAAGCGGGAGAGAGGAGAGAGAAGGTGAGGGAGAGAGAAGAGAGAAGGTGAAAGAGAAGAAAGGAGAGAGGGGAATAGAGAAGGAAGAGAAGGAGAGAAAGAGGGAGAGAGGAGAGAGAGAGACAGAGAGAGGAGGGGGAGAGGGAGAAAGGGAGGGAAAAAGAGGGGGGAGAGGGAGGGAGGAAGGGAGAAAACAAATAGGAAGACAGAGAACCCAGATTTCATGTTTATTTAAAAATGTATTTATAAAAATGATCGTGTGAGTCTGAAGTTAATGTAGAAAGTAAGGGTAGGCAGTACCTTGAATATACATACAAAGAAACAGAGATATTGTACTCTAAAATATAGTTTCAGTAGAAATGTACATACGGCTTTGTTGCTTCTGATGTTCTGAATGTGGACAAGCCTCTGATGGGGGAAAAACATCAACATTTGAGAAATAAACAAGTGGCAACAAAGAATAATTAATACCATCTGTGTTATAATCATCCATATTTTGATTGTTCAATATAATGACAGGTTAGAAATTCTTTGAGTGGAGGAAGGAGGAAAGCACAAGTATTTAGATAAATACCAAGAGATGGCCTCCCTATCTTGGCTGTATCTTGTGAGAATCTCCAAAGAAGTCTTTTTTTTTTCCCTCCCCAAAAAAAGCTGCTTCTGTTTTTACCAAATGTCTTTATTTGCTGTGCAGCTGTGTTCAATCATTTTCCTTGGTAATGAGAACGTAAAATCTGCATTTACATGATTTTTTTGTCAATACTGTTGCTGCCAGAATGTCTTTTAAAGTAATATACATGCGGTAAATGTAACGAGCTCCAGAGCCGGACTCTCTTGATTTCCAAAGACCCCATGAAGTTTTCCTTTTTCTTTGGTCGTGGACCTGATATAAAGGCCATTCACTCTTGAACCTTCATATATTTTCTTACTACCAGAAACATGAATTATAAAAGACCTTATGGAATACATTTAATAAGAATGGAGCTTTACACAAAAGATAGGTAAGTCTGAGAAGAGTTATGTACTTGAACCTTTCCCCAAAGTTAGTAAATACATGTACCTATTAGTTAGTCGGTTATCCAAGGTATTGGCCTTATAAGTTTTAGCAGCATCATTTCTGTCTGAAATCCTTTATGAAGAAACATGAGACAAAAGTCTTGATAAGCATTCAGTTTGCAGTGCCCCTTTCAAATTCTCTTTTAAGCTAGAATCATTTAAAAACATCATTCTTCCCCAATGAGAATCATTTTAAAAAATTTAGTCTCTGTCCCTTTCCCTTTATGCTCCACCCCCAACCAGATGCAGGTCTTGTTCATTTTATTTTTGATAATTCAGTCACATCCCTCTCTGCTTTCATAGTCATAGACCTAACTCAGGCCTTCATTTTCTCTAGACTTGTATAATAACTTGATACTGTGCTCTATAGGAACCGAACAAAACTGTGAACCTAATCCCTTTCCTCTTTCCAGGGAGTATGAGGTGGTGTGATGGAGGCACCTGTAGTTAGTTGGTTAGTTAGTAGCTTAAATACCACTTGCCTTTTCAGAATTATCTCTCACTATTTCCCTTCATGTGCTCTATGGTCCAGCCAATCTAAATTACTCACTGTTTAATGAACACCTTCAATGCTTTCCTGCCTTTACTAATGCCATCCTTCATGCCTGGAATGCACGATCACCCTCCTCCTCTTCTATTCACCTGTTGAAATCCTTATATTTTCTAAGGCCTGATTTACTATGTCACCATGCCACATACTGGAGTCAGCATGAAAGCATGATATGTGTCTTGAATGCCACATCTGGCCAGTGAAAAAGGTCCTGGTATAAATATAGTACTATCAGGGAGAATGGGTGAAGAAATAGCTTTTTGGATCTCTCTCCTCCATTGTTCTCCTCTCATGCCCCACCTTTCTGACCACATACCTGCCCAAGATACCTTGCATATTGTATGAATACATATTTCAGTGAGAGGCAATTCTAAACTCAAATGTTACCCAGGACCAAAATAGGATTAAAAGGAACTAGGCCCAGAAAAATAAAATTATTTAAGGTCAGTCTGTAATCCTTGAACCAGTATCTGATAGACCACAATCTGCAATATAAAGTCTTCTGGTCCTTGAAGAACTTACTCAGTTGCTCTATAATAAACTTTTGTGCAGTCAATTAACTTGTGTAAGTAGAAAAGAAACAAATGTTTCCAAGGCCAAGCTAAAACAGGAATAAATGTGGCAGAACACAGAATACCTCTAATATATTCCTACAGTGAGAAAATGACAGAGGACAATGACATCTATGTATTTTGTAGCTTGAAAAAACTTTGTGGTTTGTCCTTCATTTATGAAGAAGACTATGATGTGACTTGCGATTGACTTTGATATGAGTGAGGGACGGTTGTGCAAAGTCACCAGCGTCACTTTCTCTTCCAGAGCTATCTGAGTCCAGTGACCAGATATTCATCAGGACAACTGGAGATGGCCCAGGATGCAGTGGGAAATCTTGGCCCTTTTAAGCTAGGGTCTTTTGAAGTTCTCACTTTGAGTGAAACAATGCCCATTCAGTGAATAGATTTCTTTAAGAAGTGAGTCAAAGGATGGCTCCTTTAATAAAAACAAAAAACACAAACACAAACAAACAAACAAAAAAAACCCCACAATCTGTGAGTAGTCCAAACTGCCTGAATGGGGACCAGGCTGGCCAGTTCCAGGTGGGCAACTCAGGTTCTCCTCCCCTCTTCTCCCCTCCCCTTAGGATGTTTTGTCCAAAGGAGGGTAAATTTTGATGGCCAAAAGCTATCTAGTTGACTTGGGATTAACTGGGTAGATTTCTTTCTCAAAGGCTAAGCTTTAAACTCAATTCACTCTGGATCTCATGGATTGGACAACAATAGGTTCCTGCCCAAGCACCACTTAATGGTTATTTTTTTGGGCCCTCCTGGCTCAGTGCATATGTAAATATTAACCGTTTCTCTTTTGGCCAGCAACCTTGAGGGTCTTCCCCTTCCAGTTTGATTTTTTTTATAAAAATTGGAAAAAATTCATAAAACTTAACAGTATAGGTAGGTGTGTCTTTTTCCTCCGTCATGCACTCTATCTCTTTCTTCTTGTTTGGAGAACGGTGGCATTGTGGTGATTCCCTTCCCTTCCCTCCCATCCCTTAGAGAGGGATGGGAGGGAATAGATATGCTCTGATTTTATAAATGCAGGATTTCAGGTTGATTCAGTAGGGCTCATGCTCTGAGTTTATCATGGAAATGACTATCTATTATAATAACTGACATTTATTTAGTGATTTAAGGTCTGCAAAACACTACTACACTTTTAAATTTAAACTTCAAAATAACCCTGTGAGGAAGCTGTTGGCATTAATTTCCCCATTTTACAGATCAGGAAACTAAGGAAGTTGTCTCTTTTTTCTCAAAGATCTTATGTTTTTAAGAACTTAAAATCTAAAAAGATTCCCTTGCTCCATTTGCCTAAATACAAATATAAATGCATTCCAGTTAGATTAGTCCAATGGAAAACAATTTGGAATTAAATAAGATTTGCTAAGCTCTTCATATCATATCCTCTAACTCAGCAATACCATTACTGGTAATATACCCCAAGGAGGTAAAACACAGAAAGACAAGTCCCACATATAACCAAAATATATAACACCTCTTTTTGTGGTATCACTAAACTGGAATGATAGTAGATGTCCATAGATTAGGGGATGGCTAAACAAATTGTAGTACATTAATATAATGCAATATTGTTTAGCAAAAAAGAACAACCATGAAGTATTCTTAAAAACCTGATAAAGAACAAAGAATGCACAATCAGGAAAACAATATACAAAATGACTACAATAATATCAAGGAAAACTACACTAGAAACAAGGCAACTGAACTAGGATTAAAAGCAATGACCAATATTGGCTCAAATGGATAAATTTCACATCTCTCTCCTTTTGGTAGTGAGATGAGACACTCCAGATATAGAATGTTTTTTTTTTTCTGTTGTTCAGTCATTTCAGTCATGTCTGACTCTTGGTGACCCTATTTGGAGTTTTCTCAGTAAAGTTACTAGAGTGGTTTGCCATTTCCTTCTCCAGCTTATTTTACAGATAAGGAAAATGAGGTAAGTAGGGTTAAATGATTTGCCCAGGATCATACGGATAATAAGTACCTGAGGCAGAATTTGAACTCAGGTCTTGCTGACTCCAGGCCCTACACTCTATCCAATGCACCACTTAGCTGCCCTCTAGAATGCTACACAAACTATTAGACTTAGTTGTTGTGTCAATTAATTTTTAACTTTATTTTGTTACAAGGAAAGATTTTATTAGTTCTTATATATGGCAAGGGGCAGGGAGGGCAGTGAGGGTAAGGGTGAATATTGGAAAATGTCTATATTATGGTATAAAAAACAAAAGCTCCCAGTGTCCCTATTAGACTATGGGCAAGCCACTTAACGTGTGTGTGCCTCAGTTTCTCTTTCTGTCAAATGAGAGAGTTAGACTAGATGTCCTCTGAAGTCCCTTATAAATCTATGATCTGATGATCCCAATAAAATTTTCCAAAAGCAAAGAAAAAATGTTCAACTTGACCCTGATCCAGGTCACATTGTTCTGTTCTATCTCTTCAAGATACTTTCCCTACAAATTGCAGCCTTTTCTTCTTCCCCTAATATTCTATATGTGTATATATGCCTCCTTCTTTTCATGAACTTAAGCCCTCCTCTTTTCCCTTCTGTGCTGGTCTCTTCTCTCTCTCTGAGAGTGGCATGTGTGCCTTACTTTTTGAACTTGATAAAGTTAACTTACTCAAGCAGGGTAGTTATCTCATTGAGCTAATTCCCATTTCTGTTGACAATGATTTATAGATTTATCCTCAGCTAAACTTTCCCCCAAAAGGAATCAAAACATATTTTCGTACTATATAGTAATACATTCACTTCCCTACTTCCAAAGGATGACCTATTATTATATAAATTATGGAGTATGATCTGCCAAGCTAAAATATTACAAGTTCATGGGACACTTGGAAAATGGTTAAAAGAAGCTCATGTTCACAAGAGCATCTTGGATAGTTCTGGTAGAAAATATAATTTTTAAAAAGATGAGTCTTATTAACACATGTCATTGCCTTCATGAAGCCTTCTCTCATCTCCCCAACCAGAAGTAATCTCTTCCTCCTCTGAATGGTAATGACATTCTCAGTCTCATATGACATCATTTATTTCTTGTTAGGAGAATGGTGGCATTGTGGTGATTCCCTTCCCTTCCCTCCCATCCCTCTCTGAGGGATGGGAGGGAATAGGTATGCTCTGATTTTCTAAATGCAGGATTTCAGGTTGATTCAGTAGGGCTCGTGCTCTGAGTTTATTATGGAAATGACTATCTATTATAATAACTGACATTTATTTAGTGATTTAAGGTCTGCAAAACACTAATACACTTTTAAATTTAAACTTCAAAATAACTCAAGAATCAGAGAAGGAAAATTACCCACTGCCACTCTCCAGGTACAAATTGAGCAGAGTTCAAAGGGCTCCTGTAGGTACCATACTTAGGTTTGCACTGGAGGCTTGGCAGATGGTAATTATTCACTTTCTGATCAGGCTGCTGCCACCAACCTGTCTACTCTGGTAACAGAGCTGCCCATTTTTTCCTTTATTATAATTGTATCCTTCTCTTATCTTTATCCTGTGATACTGGAAATTCCTTGAAGTCATAGATTATGACATTTAATTTTTGTTCCCTCAGCACCGATCAAAGAGGTTTTATACATGGTAAGCACTTGATAAGTGTTTGAGTGAGTAAAATTATTGTTAAGACCAGAAGTGGGGAACCTGCATCCTCAAGACCACATGTGGCCCTCTAGGTCCTCCAGTGTGGCCCTTTGACTGAATCCACACTTCACAGATTTGTCATTCTGTTTGGATGTTTTGAAAGTTTGGATTCAGTCAAAGGGCCACACTGGAGGACCTAGAGGCTCCACAAGTGGCCTCGAGGGCTCAGGTTCTCCACTCCTGATTCAGACCAGTCAGTTAATTAGCATTCATCTAGTGCCTAATATGTACCAAACACCATGCTAAGCACTGGAGAGTCAAAAAAAAAAGACAAAAGACAGCCCCTCACAAGTATGATG